GATGTTATACTTACCCTGAGGCATCTTACACATTAATAAAGAAATATTTGCCAGAAATCCATGTGTAAGTCAGTTATTTGGAGCTATATAGATAATATTATATCTAATCCACAGGTTAGCTCTGCCTCCACAATCTATTAAGTTAAATGGTTATGTTGAATTATATGAAATTGCCAGTAATTTATCAACTATGCCCTACAAAAAAGCAGCTTCATATGTTTCAATGTGATATACATGTTGTTTTGGTTACCTTTAGGGCTACTCTAACAGAAATACCACAGATGGGTGGCTTTAGCAAACAGGAGTTTATTCTCTTACAGTTTAGGAAACTAGAAGCCTGAGTTCAAAGTGCCAGCTGTAGGGGCTTGGTGAAAGCCCCCCGACCTTGGGCTTCAGCTCTGCCTCTTGCTCCCAGCACACTGGAGCTGGAGGTGCCTTTTTAATCAGGCGCCTGCTAACTGCTGAGGCTAACAAACCTAGGTCGACAAGTAAAATGGCTCATTCCCAAGGTTATTGTACAACATAGCAGGCCACTGGTTCAAGTCCAGAAACAATCCTAAGATAGGCAGACAACATGACAGGTTTCTGAATGAAGAATTGGTTATATGCAGGGCCCAAGCATGCCAAAAAGCTGCAGAAACTGTCCTCAAACCTGCTGTTTATGTACTGGAAGCAAACCACATCCCTAAGGCAGCTACTCAGCTGCTCCGATAGATTCTACGATGGAGTTGATTACCAATCTCATCATGGGGAATAAGTACATGCAGCTGCCCAGCCACTCCAAACCAGGCTCACCCAAGTTGACACACAACTACCACAATTCCACTCCTTGTCAATGTAGCATCCATATACATCTCTATCACTTGGTGGCTCTAGTCCCCTAGTTCTTCTGAGTGGTGACCTCACTACCCCTTGGCCTGGCAAGCCCTGTTCCTCTGCTCCCTGGGCATGAAAGCCCTGCCTCTTCACTTTTGGGCAGTGGCTGTGGCCTCTGGGGATGGAAGCACTACAGCCTCATAGGTTTCAAAGAGTCAGACCTTCACTAACTTGGTTCTGACGTGTGGGGCTGCTCTTTCATGTGGGCCAGTGTATGGGACCATAGCCGCTGCCCAAAAGTGAGGGAGTAGGGCTGCCATGCCCAGGAGGCAGAGGAATGGGGCCTGGCAGGCCAAGGAAGTGAGGTCACCACTCAGATGAACTAGGGGACTAGAGACACCAAGTGAAGGAAATGTGTACAGATGCCAAGTTGACAAGGGGTGGAATTGTGGTAGTTGTGTGTCAACTTGGGTGGGCTTGGTATGGAGTGGCTGGGCAGCAGGAAGTAGTTATTCCCCATGATGAGGTTGGTAATTAACTTCATGATGGAGTCTACTGGAATAGCTGAGTAGGTATCTTAGGCATACGGTCTGCTTCCAGTATTTAAGGAGAAGTTTTAAGAGAAGTCTCTGCAGCTTTTGGCATACTTGAATCCTGTGTGCAGCTGAGTTGTCGTTCAGCAGCATGCTATGCTTTCTGCCAATCTTGGGACTGTTAATGGGCTTGAATCAGTGGCCTACTGTGTTGTTTGATAATTCTGGGACTTTTCATTTTACTTATGAAAATGGGTTTGCCAGCTTCAGCAGTTAACAGCTGCCTGAGTGAAGAGATGCCTCTAGCTCCAGTGTGCCAGGACCAAGAGGCAGAATGGAAGCCCAAGTCAAGGGGCTTTCACCCAGCCCCTAGAGCTGGCACTTTGTACTCAGACTTCTAGCTTCCTAAACTGATAGAGAATAAACTCCTGTTTGTTAAAGTCATCCATTTGTGGTAGTAGGTGTTAGAGCAGCACTAAGTAACGAAAACACACGTAAAGCAATGAATTTTACTAATGTATACAACCAAGAGTAACTAATGGCCATGCATAATAATGATTGTGTCAGAAAAACGTACCCAGATACCTATCTCTTCCTATTGAAGGCTGTAGTGGTTATGTTTGTGTGTCAATTTGGCTGGGACTAGTTGAGTGGCTGGGCAGCTGGTGGTAGTTATTCCCTATGATGAGACTGGCAATCAACTCCATGGTGGGATCTACCACAAGCAGATGAGTAGTTGCCTTTGGGATGTGGTCTGCTTCCTGTATATAAGGAGAAGCCTTGGGAATGGTCTCTAGCCTATGGCACACTTGGACCCTGCATGTAGTGGAGTCATTGTCCAGCAGCCTGCCATGCTCTGCTGACCTTGGGACTTAAAATGAACTTGAATTAATGGCCTGCCATGTGGTTTGGTAACATCAGGACTATGCCATTTTATTTATTGACCTCAGGATTGTCAGCCTAAGCAGCCAGTAGCTGCCTGAATGAAGAGATGCCTCTAGCTTCAGTGGGCCAGGAGCAAAAGGCAGAGCTGAAGCCCAAGGTCAAGGGACTTTCACACAGCCCCTAGAGGCTATCACTTTGAATTTAGACTTAAAGCCTCCAAACTATGGGAGAATAAACTCCTGTTTGTTAGCTATCCCATTTGTGGTATATTCTTGTCAGAATGGCACTAGGTAACCAGAACAAAGGCCTAGAAATGCGATAAGGAACACTTTCATGATTCTCTTAATTTTTTTGAATAGTGGAAATAAGGGTTTACCTTTTCAATTGCCTAGAACAGGAATCCTAACAAAACTGGTAAAGTAGTAGGGTTACAAGGAGGTGAGGTGGATGGTCAATGGTTAACACAGTTGGCTACTAACTGAAAAGTTTAGGTTCAAGTTTACCAGGAGGCACCCCAGAAGAAAGACATGGTTAACTTCTAGAAAAAAAGTTGTCAACTGGTTTGATTTCTTTTTTTTTGAGGTATGAGGCTAGGAAAGTATTCTAGTAAGTGAGGGATCTCCTGCATGATGAAGCCCCTGTGATTTGGTTGTTAGTACTACTGCCTCTGGTACCAGAACTGTGTGTTGTGCCTGTTTTGACTCATACTGGCAGATGGATGTTCATGCTTTGCCTTTTAAAGCCACCAAAACTAGTGATGGAGCCTCTGCTAATGCATCCATAGCAATACTAAATACAATAAAGCCCTTTGTGTTGTGGCTAATGATAAAATACAGATATAACATAATTGATTTTCATCCTTCACTCAGTTCCTCTTTGAGAATGGGGGTGGGCTAGCTACAGTTCTCACTTGGGGATATAGATGGGAGGGGAAAGCCAGGTAACCCTGTCTTGAGAAGCAGGAGCCATAGGGAGGGTCCCCTGTATCCTCGATATTCTCCCAATCTAATCTTTGTATGGGGCTGACAAAAATGAGCACTAACTAACCAAGATACTCCTGAAATTGCTGTCACCATCTTGAAAGTACCAGCCAGTCATAACATCATTGATATGAAAGCTAGAGAAAAAATTCCGACTATTGACACCAAGTCTGAGCAAAACACATTTTAGCTGCACAGTTGGAACCTCAGAATTTCCCAGCTGGTTAGCAGTGTGGGCATGCTCCAGTCATTACATTAATTTGAAGACACTATGAGCCTGCATTTTTGTGATTGAAAATTTTAGACCATACTAATCAAATTATGGAAGATTTTGCTGAACGTCCGTGATGTGCTTATCTGCAGATGTTAGAAACAGCAGAAGAAAGCAGTAGCATGGTCTCTACTTCATTCTGTCTTCCAGATATTGCACAAGTTTAAACTGGTTGCCATTAAAATCTTTCTAAAGATTTTATTGAATGAGTCAAACCAACTCACATATAGAATGCTAATAGCTTGTCAATTTTTACCTTTTTCTGGCTTTGCAGTACAAAAAGACATACTAGAGGAAAGGTGGAGTAGATATTGAGTGTCTATCCATGGTATCTACCACACAACTATTTCAATTTTCTAAGGATTTTTAACCCTAGAAGCAAGTAGAAATAGACAGAGGATATAAGATTTCTTACCCATAACTCATTATAATTTCTTTCACTGCTCATTTCCTGCAAGGAAAGGCAACAAAGATAGAAGCTAAAGTGAGTTTTCAGATACACACAAAATGAATATTCATTTACAACTCAGAGGCAAATTTAGACTCAGTGAGTGGTTTGCATGCTACAACTAACGGAAAGGTTGATGAGTCAAATTCACAGCGGCACCATGGAAGAATGGCTTAGTGACCTACTTTTGTAACAATTACAGGCAATAAAACCCTATGGAGCTCAGTTGTACTCTGTTTAACACATGGGATCACTAAAGTTCAATCTACACAACAGTAATGGGTTTGGTTGGTTGAGTCTTCTAAGTGTCTGTACTTAGAAGTCTCAACCAAACAAACCCACACTGAAAGACAATATGATGACTCTGGGGAGTGGTATGGGAGTCCTGGTGTTGTAGTGCCTAAGGCATTTGACTGCTAACCAAGGCTGGCGGTTCAAACCCAACCAGCCACTCCTCGGGAGGAAGGTTGGGCAATCTACTTCCGTAGTGATACCGCCTCGGAAACCCAAGGAGGAGTTGCTATGAGTCAGATCCCACTCGATGGCAGAGTGTGTTGTGTGGGGAGTGGTATGGGGAAAAAAGAGGTGCTGGGCATGCCATCTGTGACTCCGGTGCTGGCAGTGATTGGGTGGAGAAGCCTGGGGGTTTAGATAGATTTTCCCTTTCTCTATCCTTCACATTGACATATTAATCTGTGGTTGGCCTTGAGAGGAAAATGTGAAGAATGGGATTTGCGCTTGGGACAGACCTGAGTATATTTCCTGTTTGTTATATAGGACTGGAAAAGATTGCAAGTTTTCTTTTTTTTAACTGTGATTTGGGTGAAAATTTACAGAGCAAATTCACTTTCCATATAACAGTTCACATACACTTTGTCTCATGACATTGACCACAATTTAGCACAATGCAACATCTCCCCTCCCACTTCCTCCCAATAGTTACCTCTTCCTGTGTCCATCCCTCCATGCACTCCTGCTCCCTGAGCTGTCGCCCTGTGCATAGGCAGCCCTTCTTTCTCTCAAGGATTGCAAATTTTCATGAGGATAAAAGTTGTAAGGAGAGTCCCAAGATGGCGGCCACCATGAAGAAGGTGAACTTTCTTTTCAGGCTGCAGAAGATGTCAGTGTTACTTTTGAAGACCAACAGAAGATAAACAATTTTGCACGGAATATGAGTAGGATCACGGAGCTGAAGGAAGAAATAGAAGTAAAGAAGAAACAACTCCAAAATTTAGAAGATGCTTGTGATGACATCATGTTGGCAGATGATGACTGCTTAATGATACCTTACCAAGTCAGTGATGTTTTCATTAGCCACTTGCAGGAGGAAACACAAGAAATGTTAGAAGAAGCAAAGAAAAATTTGCAAGAAGAAATTGATGCTTTAGAATCCAGGGTGGAATCAATTCACTGGGTATTAGCAGATTTGAAAGTTCAGCTGTACCCAAAATTTAGAAGCAACATAAACCTTAAAGCTGATGAAAGTTAAAAATTTTATAGTGCTTTTTTTAAATTTGTTTAATAAACTTGAATATTGTTTAAAATGATAATTTCTCTTCTTCAAATGAGATGGAAAGCAAAACTTTTTTTTTTAAAATTTTCATGTATTTAATGGAAACTTGCCTATTTTCACATGTCTTGCTTATTTATTTTATATTTTTAAAAGAAGACAGTATTTGCCTATGTATTTTGCATGATTATATCACGTGTAAGGGCTTTATGTCATGTTATTAAAAGCAGTTAAGCAATCAAAAAAAATTGTAGGGAGGACAACCATAAGTAGTGAGGATGACACTCAACTGCACTGATTTGGCAGGACTGCGATTCTGTTTACTTGCACCATGACTGACTTGTTTGTTCATGTTCATTGCACAGCTCTGCATTAGTTGGTAGATGAAAACCCATGTCTTCTTTAGTTTTTGAACATAGTTTCTCTTTAGGTAATTGTTATTTTAAGAGAATGGAAAAAAAAAAGAGAGAGAGAGAGAGAGAGAGGCTCCTTTGTTTTCATTACCATTTCTTGGTAACTCTTCCTCCCCACATTCACCTCCCTTTAGCTTCTTTGGGTTATGGAAATATAGCCATAGCCAAATAAGCTTTTTCTGAGTCCTTTCTACAATTTTGAATCATACTTTTTGTCTTAACTGATTCCTATGTCAAAGTCTATAGGACTTTGAAATGAAATACAGCCTGTTCACAGAATTGGTAAATTTATGAAAATTGGTAGCATGCAGAGGGTGGTCAAGTGTAGGTATTGTTCTGTGAAGAAGGATTACGTTTTCTATGAAGCTTTCCCCATCCTCCTCTCCCAGGCCTATTGGTCCTCCTTCTGCTCCTTCTTTACCACTGAGCCCTGTGCATTTTTCACTTGGGCACATGTAACATATTATTGATCTTACTGTCTTACAGGTCGGTCTCTCCTCCACTATCCAGGGGTCACATCTTATTCTTGGTACACTGAGTGCCTAACAAAACTCCTTGCACATAATAGGTGCTTAATTAATATTTTTGAATAATTGAGTAAATTAGAGTACTGTTAAGTATGAAAAATAATCCATCTATTGTTTTTATAAAAATGATGCATGGTCATCATAAAATTCCAACAAAACAGAAAAATACAAAGTAAAAAGATAATCACAGATTGCATCATTCAGAAATAACCTTTGTTAAAATTAGTGACATCCATATTTCCAGATGTTAGGAAAGAGGTGTTATTCATTTATACAGGAATTTAGGCAAAAGTAAATAAAATTGTAAGGTAAAATTGTAAAGTTGACTATACATTCAAAAATAAGGATATTTAGGGTAATACTATATAAAACTCTTATGATTTCTGTAGCATTAACTCTTGCTGAAGAAATCAGTACATGGATGAAAAATATATGTTTTTCTTAGATACTAAAGTTGTTCATTTGTATATAGTCATTCTGTACTGAAAGCTGTGTGTTTAAGATAATCTAGATGAAAAATTTCCTAATAGTAAAGAATTTAAATTTTTTTTAGAAATATGTTTACATTTTTAAAAAACAGCAATTTTCCATACAAGGAGGAATATCAGTAGTGCACTATGGAGAATAGTAATTTCATTTGTATCATTCATTCATTCATTCCACTCAACTCATACAGTATGTTGTCTCTATTCTAGACACTGTTACAATAATATATGTACTTGCCAATACATTTTAGGCTTTTAAAAATATTCTTTCTTTCATTCTAAGATCTATAGGAAGCCTACATTATTGTACTTTGGAATATTTTATTGAGAAGGGATATTATAAAGCTAAGTTTTCATTTAATCCTGAGGTGACCAGATATCTTGAATTAATGGGAATGAGATCAAGTATTTTGCTCCAAGAAGTTGACTACCATTTATTGTGTGTTTGTGGATATGTGGTAAACCACACAACTCTTATGTCCTATAGTTTTGATAGAGTTCGGCATAAGATTTCATTGGAGCTTCTCATTACATGCTAACTTTGCAATTTTCCAATCATTTTGGTTAACTATTTCCTGGAGACTTGGAATCCCATCTATGCCCTAAGATGTGGGAGCTAGATGCCTATTTTTTATAAAAACACTAAATGCATTATTTAAATATCTAACAGGACTATAATTTATCCAATCATTCAAAAATAGTAATTAAACACCTATTATATGCAAGGAGTTTTGTTAGGTACTCAGTGTACCAAGATGAATAGGATATGACCCCTGATCTTCAGGAGCTTGCAGGATAATGGAGGCGAGATAGACCTATAAGACAATTAGGTCAATAATATGGTACAGATCAGAATTTCTGGTTCCACAAGAACAGATTCAACTAACATTTCTTAATATCTGACACTTGCCGAGTATGAAATTAAGCACTTTCTCATAAACTCCAAACCAAACTGAACTCATTGCCATCAAGTCAACTCCAACTCAAAGCGATCCCCATTGATTTTCCAAGGCTGTAAATCTTTATGGAAGCAGCCTAGTTCATCTTTTTTTCCCACAGAGAGGCATGGGTTCCAAACACCACCATTTTGGTTAGAAGTCAAATGCCTTAACCACTACACCACCAGAGCTCTTTTCTCATAAACTAGCTTTTAAAATCCACATATATTTACACACATATATACATACATATATACATATATATATATATATATACACACACACATACACACAACTTTCAAGGATAGTGGTGAGTTTGGCTTTAGGTTTTCTCAGGGGGTTAGAAACACTAATCTTCTGGAGATCAGTCGAGTACCTAACTGCTTGAACCCCCCAGTGACTCTGAGAGGAGAATAATCATTGTGAAATGAGACATTGCTGTGTTATATATGCAGAATTACTATTAAATTTTTGGTAATATAGTATATCTTTACTATGAAACCCTTTCCAGCTTTTCTTGAGAATCCTATCAGAATATTCTAACAAAGGAAACGAGTGCTCAGGCACTTGCTCAGTTGTTACCATCTTAAATCTTCCAAGCTTTTTTTTTTTTTTACTAAGGTTTCAAAAAATAAATAAATAAATAAAAATAAAAAGAAAAAGAATAAAAAGCAATTCTACTCTTATCTGTTGATCTCTAACACATGTTATAAATTTTGATCATGGAGTAGGAGAGGTTTTATGAGTGTATAAGATATGTAATAACTTTTTTTTTTTTAATAACAGACTCAAGTTCAATATTTCCTTGGGATGTATTATAACAACCTACATCTGGCAGTCATTAGACTTTTCAAACTATTTCCACTTTTTTTTACAACCTTGTAAGGCATGTGGGGTGTGCATTGTCACCCCCATTTTCACAGAAGAAAACAGATTCCTAAAGTTTAATAGGTTCCCAAGATTTCATCTAGGAAATCAATGTCTGGATTGTGCTCAAAATCCGTAACACCATGTTATCTTTGTTTAAGATAAGAATGTCAATTTCTGGGCTCTCTTTGCATTGTTATACAAAAGTAATATATTATTTAGTTGATTCTCATTATAATCCTAAGGGTAGATAGTGCATCCATCTTACTGATGATGAACTGAGGTCCAAAGAATATAAGAAACTTGTTCAAGGTCATTTGATTGCAAAAAGCACAAAGTCACTGACGGATGTGTTGCTGTAGCATCATTATCATCAGAGAGATCAGTTAAACAGTTGTATGTGATTGATCTTATGCTAGAACTTTGTGCCTAATTTAGACCTACAGGATTCTATCAAGCTGCGCTGGGAGCAGTTGTTGTTGTTGTTGTTATGTGCCATGGAGTTGGACTCAACTCGTAGCGACCTCTCCTTGGGTTTCCCAGGTGGTATCACTATGGAAGTAGATTACCCAATCTTCCTTCCGAGCAGTGCTTGGTGGATTTGAACCACCAGTCTTCTGGTTAGTCGTCAAGTGCCTTAGGCACTACGTTACCAGAACTTCTAAACAGCAAACTCATTGCCTTTGAGTCAATCTCCACTTATAGCGACCCCTTCTTGGGTTATCACTGTGGAAGTAGATTGCCCAATCTTGGAGTGCTGAAGAGTGCTGGTGGGTTTGCATCTGGTTAGTAGTCAAATGCCTTAGGCACAATGACACCAGAGCTGTTCTGAAATGGCTCTTAAGTGCTAGTTGCCAGGCTACATTTTGGCCTCTAATATTTCATGAGATGTAATTTTCTGATGTGTTTTGTCTTTTCTACTTAGAAGAGGCTACTTCAAGGTTTTGTGGAAAGAAAAATTTCAGTCGAAGTAGAAAAATAATCTCAGTTTCTGGAACTTTCTTTGGTATTTCAGTGATCATTTCTTCTGTAGGATATATATCAATATATGCAAGGGGAAAATGCTCAAGCAGCAGCCCTCAGCTAGATCCTGGGTTGTTGGCTATTGGGTAAACTTAAAACAGCTCTTCAGTACACTTATCCCCTTATTGTCATGGTGGTATCAAGAAGGGAGAACCAGAGTGAGTCTTCCTAGTTTATAATACAACCAATCAATGGATTCTACTTTACACCGTTGGATTTTACTGGTGATCAAATGACAGTGATGTCCCTGGGTGGCCCAAATGGCTAAGTCTCTCAGCTGCTAACTGAGAGGTTGGCAGTTTGGGTTCACCTAGAACAATCAGCCATTGAAAACCCTACAGAGCACAGTCCTACACTGACAAAATGTGGTCACTGTGACCTAGAATCAATTCCACAGCAACTGATGATGGTGGTGAAATGGTCAGTACCTTAAGCTCTTTAAATGTGATTTCCCCAAGTTAACCCTTCAGTGTTCCTGGAGAACTTCCCTCAAAGTCATGTATTTTGATGATAGCTAAGACAATACTTGAAAGAAAGCAAGCAGCAATAAGTGCTTATTAATTGAAAACATGGATTAATGAATGAGGAAATGAATGAGTTTTATGGGCATCTGAGAGATTTGAACTAGGTCATTCCAGGACTTCTCCAAGATAATGAACTTGGAGGGGTGTCAATCAAGTATCTCGAATCTGCTGGTCCAAATTCACACCCCTGTAGGAGTCATGCATATTGTAGTCAGCATCTTAACTGGCCCTTAGCTGAGCATGGTAGTGATGATGATCGCGGTGATATTTTCCCAGAGTTCAGCTTTCCTTGGATGTGCTTCCTTACTCAACAAACATTTAATGGATACCTACTATATCCAAGGCATCGTTCTAGGTGCTGGGGATGCAGCAGTGAGCACTGTAGACAAAATCCCCGCATTTCTGGACCTTTCTTTCTAGTTCAGAGAGGCAGACGATAAACAAACACCTAAAGATA